CCCTGAGTTGTCCCTGGGGCTGACTGCTCCTCTGTCCGGTTCCTGGCTTTTATCCCCTTTCTCCTGCTCTTCCGGCCTGCTACTCTGGGTGGGCCTGAGTTTCCTCTCCTCACCTAATCCCTTCGGCTGATTGCTCTTCTCTCTGGCTTCCTGGCTTTTAATCCCCTTTCTCCTGCTCTTCCTACCTGCTACTTTGGGCATCCCAGAGTTGTCTGTCCTCACCTGTAACCCTGGGGCTGACTATATATATATATACATATATATATATAATTACTCCTTAGTTTATTAGAACAGTATTCTTTTCTTATTTTCAAAAGAGAAAAAACCTAAACTCTGGCTTGGAAAGCCATTTCTAATATTAAAAGTAATATGATCATATGATCATTTACCTTAATGGAGCACCATCCCCCTTTCATGGCTTTTTAAGGTATTACCACTTGAAATTGAAAGGCAGATGGTATACCACTGTTTTCAGATTATAAAATTGAAACAAAATTTCAAGTTATTTTATGTTTCAAAATCTGCAAGCACACACTACATAATTTACCTGTCCATGGGTAAAATGACCTGAAGATCAGAGGTTACCAACATCCATTCTAAAAAATACTAAAAAATATATTTTCTTAAGTATTTTTTACTTAATTTTTTGGAGGGCTGAAAGTATACACAGCAATGGACATAGCATTTCAACAAATTCTCTATATGTACAATTCAATGACACTGTTTACATTCTTCAACTTGTATAACCAGTCTCACTATCCTTTTCCAAGTTATTCTACTTCTATAACATAAGTTCATTATTCTCTAAGCTTCTCATCTAACCTTTTGAGTTGTCATCAACTTGAACCTTAAAGACATTATCCTGATGAAATATGTAAGGGTCATGACCTTACATAGATAAAATAAGAATAGGGCAATATATAGAAATCAAAAGGTTACCAAGGGCAAGCAAGAGATCTGGTGGTGCACTCATTAAGTGCTCAGCTGCGAACCAAAAGGTCAACAGTTAGAACCTTCCAGCCGCTCATGGGAGAAAGATGTGGTGGTCTGCTTCTGTAAAAATTATAGCCTTGGAAACCTTATAGAGCAGTTCTAATCTGTCCTATAGGTTCACTATAAATCAGAAATCACTAGGCAATGGGTTTTGGTTAACAAGGAAGGAAACAGCAGAGAGGAGGGATAGGTGAGCCAGTGATTTTATGAAACAGTGAGTTTTTGTTTGTGATGATGGGAAATTTCATTCAGATTAAGGGTAATAGGTTGTACAACCTACTAATGTAATTTATAACACTAATCTGTACATCTGAAAAATACTGAATTGACAACTATTGTATAATATGTATTTTCTTAGGTATTTGAAACTTCTTCTTAAACCACTTCACTAAATTTATCAGTGACCTACACAATTGTTATAGAGATAATTTTTAGCCTCCAGTATAAAAAAATTTTTAATTCTGTGTCCATATTTTAGGACCTCTGGTGGTATAGTGCCTAAGTCATTTGACTGCCAACCAGAAGGCTGGTGGTTTAAACCCACCAGCCACTCCTCAGATGGAAGGCTGGGCAATCTATTTCTGTAGTGAAACTGCCTCAGAAACCCCAGGAGGGGTGGGTCGCTATGAGTTGGATCCAACTCAACAGCAGTGAGTTTGGTTTGGTTTGGTTTGTGTCCATATTTTAAAAATTAGGTTTCACATAAAAATCAGGATGTCCAATTTCCCTTGGAAGATCAAAACAGGTTGCAAAACTAGGCCCACATTCCTGCATAGGAACAATCTACTGGATCTGAGCAATGGTTGCTCTGTCATTCTATATTACCTCTGGACAAGGCCAAATGTCTTTTATCACTTATCACATGACTTGTGCTGTCATTTTTCTAATACCCTGTTCAACTTCCATGGGCATGTGCATTTGTGATTACTGCTTTACTCCTTAATCAGTTCATTAAGTTTTTTTTTTTTTTTTCCATAGATAATACAAAGAGAAAATTCATAGCAGCTTTATATTTAAGTTAATTCTAAGTTAGATTACATATTTTTTTTGGTACTATGATATATTTAGGAGTCACCTGGTAATACAAATAGTTAAGCACTAGACTACTGGCCAAAAGTTTGGCAGTTCAAACCCACCCACAAGCACCTTGGAAGAATGACCTAGAGATCTGCTTCAGAAACATCAGAGCCTTGGCAATCCTATGGGGCACAATTCTACTCTGACACAAACCGGGTCATCATGAGTCAAAACTGACTCAAAAGCAATTGTTCTGGTTATCTAGTGCCACTCAGACAAGAATATACCACAAATGAGATGGCCTTAACAAACAGGAGTTTATTTTCACAATTTGAAGGCTTTAAGTCCAACTTCAAAGTGCCAAGCTCTAGGGGCTGGATGAAAGCCCCTCAGCCTTGGGCTTCAGCTCTGCCTCCAGCTCCCGGCCCACTGAAGGCTTTTCTTCACTCAGACAGCTGCTGGTTGCTGAGGCTGAGAAGTCCAAGGTTGACAAATAAAATGGCACAGTACCGATGTTACCAAACCACACGGCAGGCCATTAATTTAAGTCCATTATAAGTCCCAGGGTCAGCAGAGCATGGCAGGCTGCTGAACAATGACACGGCTACATGCAGGGTCCAAGCATGCCATAAGCTAGAGACTGTCCCTAAGGCTTGTCCCTTATATACAGGAAGCAGACTACAACCCAAAGGCAGCTACTCAGCCGCTTGTGGTAGATCCCACCATGGAGTTGATTTCCAGTCTCATCATGGGAATAACTACACTAGCTGCCCAGCCACTCAAACAGGCCCAGCCAAGTTGACATACAAACTGAACTACCACAGCAACTAACAACAACAACATTAGATAATTATAAATTCTCAAAGGTAAAGACTCACCTACATTAACAATAGACCCTCCCTGTTGCTGAATCATAGTCCTTAGAGCAGCTTTACACGTCAGCATGGAACCCAGGAGGTTAGTATGAAGCTGAGATATCATATCTTCAGTTTTAGTTCTTACCAGAAGGCTATCCCTGAAAAAAAAGGAGGAAAAAAAAAATGTGAATTAAAAACTGATAAAAAAAAATTTTTAAGGCTAAATCATACAACATTCTACCAAAAGTTCTTGTATAAGACTGAATACCTAGAATTAAAGTCCCATTTAGAACTTGTCTTGAGAGGCGCTAAAAAAACAAGTGAGGAGCCAGAAAGGGCACGTTTGGAAAGCAGCTTCTTAATCCCTTTTATAGAGCAGCAAATATTTCCAACTGCTATAAGTATACCATGCAGCCAAAATAGCTTGAATGATCTTGATCTGAGTAACTGCTACACTAAATTTTATTTAACAAGAAAAGTCAGTTATGTTATTCTAACTTTTCTGTCCTATGTTCATCTTTAAAAGGTATATCCACTCTATGATTTCATTTTTGTGAAGTTCATGAACCAGTGAAACTTAAGTTATGGTGACAGAAATGAGCATAGTGGCTACCCTTCAGGATATATTTCCAGATCTATCTTGAAGTATAATGCTGTCAGTGATAGAATCATATCCATACACCTACAAGGTAGACTAATTAATACAACTATTATTCAAATGTATGTATCAACCACTAATGCCAAAGATGAAAAAATTAATGATTTTAAACATTTTCTGCAGTCTGAAATTGATCAAATATGCAATCAAAACATATCAATAATTACTGGTAATTGCAATGCAGAAGTTGGAAACGAAGAATCTGTATGTGGAAAATATGGCCTTGGTGATAGAAATGACACAATTGTATGACAGAATAATGCAAGACCAACAATTAATTCACTACCAATTCCTTTCTCCAACAACATAAATGGTAACTAACTATACCTCACTGATGAAATACACAGCGATCAAATTGACTATATACGTGGAAAGAGATGATGGAGAAGCTCATTATCATCAGTCGGAACAAGGCCAGGGGCTGACTATAGAACAGATTGCTCATATTCAAGTTCAAGTTTGCAGCGTAGTAAATTACCTGGTATGACTTTTCTACCATAAGTCTTTGTAAACTCTGTGGTGGAATTTGCTGTGAGCAACTAAGGAGCTCCTGATTATAAATATTATCCATCTGGGGTATTTCTTTTGGGAGTGGCACAGAGCAATGTTCTGGGAAGTTCTCTCTCTCTCTCAGGTGCTTAGAATTCTGATGTTATGATTGGCTAGTTTGGCCACTCTGCCAGGCTCAAAAGGAGGCCTCCTAGAGGCAGAAGTCTCTCTCTAACTGCTGGCTGATAAGGACGTGCTCCTAAGAAAAATGCAGTCCTGAGAGATGTGCTCCTGAGAGACATGTGCTGCTGAGAAAGAGACACCAAGAGACATACATTTTTAAGAGAGAGACAGAGAGACACGCACTGCTGGGAGAGAGACTGAGAGAGACCATTGGCTGAGAGACGGCAGGCCGAGAGAGACTGAACATTGTTCCTGAACTTGAATTGTAGCCTGGTGCTTCCCTATTAAACCCCATAATCTGTGAGCTCTGTGTGGTCACTGTAATGAATTACCGAACCCAGCAGAGAGGTGGTGGGTACTGAGGGAGGAACGGTTGATAAAAGGGCTAGAGGGAGGCAGCATGTCTGGCCTCATAGGAATAGGCCTTGGGCTATTGATGGTGATTCTGTCTTCCTCTTGTGTGGTTAGAGGAGGTCAGAAGATGGTGCCTCCCTGCCCCTTTAGCAAAGTTGAAACTTAAGAAAACTAAAACAAATCCATAGGAGCCAAAATACAACCTTGAGTATATCTCAGCTGAATTTAGAGACCATCTCAAGAACAGATCTGACACAATGAACGCTACTGACTGAAGACCAGACAAACTGTGGGATGATTTCAAGGACAGCATACATGAAAAAAGCACAGTTCATTAAAAAGACAGGAAAGAAAGAAAACACCAAAGTGGATGTCAGAAGAGACTCTGAGACTTGCTCTTGAATAGAGTAGATAAAGTGAATGGAAGAAATGATAAAGTAAAAGAGCTAAAGATTTCAAAGGATGGCCCAAGGCAAAGTAAAGTATTTTAACAAAATGTGCAAAGACCTGGAAATAGAAAGCCAAAAGGGAAGAATTGTTGTTGTTGTTGTTATTTGCCATCGAGTGGGATCCGACTCATAGCGACCCCTCCTTGAGTTTCCAAGGCAGTATCACTACAGAAGTAGATTGTCCAAACTTCCTTCCAAGGAGTGGCTGGTGGGTTTGAACCACCAGCCTTCTGGTTAGCAGTCAAGTGCCTTAGGCACTATGCTATACACTTGATATTTCTCAAACTGAAAGAATTGAAGAAAAAACTCATGCCTCGAGTTGAAGGCGTTTATAAGAACCTCTAGTGGAACAGTGGATAAGGCATGTGGCTGCTAACCAGGTTGGCAGTTCAAACACACCAGCTGCTCCACGGAAAGAGCATGGGGCAGAAGGTGGGGCGATCTACTTCCATAAAGATTTATAGCCTCAGAGACCCAACAGGGGTTGCTATGAGTCAAAATCGACTTGATGGCAGTGAATTTGGTTTTTTGGTTTTATGAGCAAAATACTGAACTACACAGGAAGCACCAAAAAAGATAGAACAAATACACATAGTCACTAAACCAAAAAGAATTGGTGAATGTTCAACCATTTCAGGAGGTAGCATATGATCAAGAATACTCATTGAGATGTTTCAACAAGTGGATTCAAGGCTGGAAGTGCTCACTTGTCTATGCCAAGAAATTTAGAAGGCGGCAACCTGGCCAACTGACTAGAAGAGATCAGTATCTGTACCAATTCCAAAGAAAGGTGATCCAAGAGAATGTGGAAATTATTGAACAGTATCATTAACGTCACCCACAAGTAAAATTTTGCTAGAAATAATTTTAAAATAGTTGCAGCCATACATTGACAGGGACTGCCAGAAATTCAAGGTTGATTCAGAAAAGGACATGAAGGGAAGAATATAGTAGCTGGTGTCATATAGATTTGGCTAAAAGGAGAGAAGACTAGAAAGATCTTGTGGAAGTTAAGGCTGTGTCAACATGGCTAGGTGTAGCTTTCAGTGGCTGGGCAGGTGAATATAGTATTTTCTATGATGAGACTGATAATCAACTCCATGGTGGGATCTACTGTGAGCAGCTGAGTAGCTGCCTTAGGGATGTGGTCTGCTTCCTGTACATAAGGAGAAGCCTTGGGGAATAGTCTCTAGCTTATGCCACACTTGAACCCTACATGTAGCCAAGTCATTGTTCAGCAGCCTGCCATGCTCTGCCAACCTTGAGACTTTCAATGGACTTGAATTAATGGCCTGTCATGTGGTTTGTTAACATTGGGACTGTGCCTTTTTACTTGTCAACATTGGGCTTGTCAGTCTCAACAAGCTGAGTGAAGAAAAGCCTCTAGCTTCAGTGGGCTGGGAGCAGGAGGCAGAGCTAAAGCCCAAGGTTGAGGGGCTTTCACCCAGCACCTACAGCCTGGCACTTTGAACTCAGACTTAAAGCCTCCAAACTGTAAGAGAATAAACTCCTGTTTGTTCAAGCATCCCATCTGTGGTATATTCTTGTCAGAGCAGCACTAGGTAACCAGAACATTCCCCTTGATGAAACTGGTAATCATCTCCATGGTAGAATCTACTGGAGCAGCTTAATAGCTGCCTTAGGGATGTGGTCTGCTTCTAGTATATAAAAAGCATTGAAAAAAGTCTCCAGCTTTTGGAATGCTTGAATCCTGCATGTGGCTGAGTCATTATTCAGCAGCCCACCGCACTGTCTGCCAGTTCTGGGACTCTTTAATGTAATTGAATCAATGGCTTGCCATGTAGTTTGGTAATACAGGGACTGTGCCTTTTTACTTGTTGACCTTGGGTTTATCAGCCTCAGCAGCCAGCAGCTGCCTGAGTGAAGAAAGCCTCCAGCCTCAGTGGGCCAAGAGCAAGAGGCAGAGCTGAAGCCCAAGGTTTAGGGGCTTTCACCCAGCCCCTAGAGCCTGGCACTTTGAACTCAGATTTCTAGCCTCCACATCTGTAAGAGAATAAATTCCTATTTGTTAAAACCACCCATTTGTGGTATATTCCTGTCAGAGTGGCACTAGGTAACCAAAACAGATGTTTACTTGTGTTATATTGACTCTGCAAAGGCATCTGACAATGTGGATTATAACAAATTATGATAGCATTGCGAAGAATGGGAATTCCAGAATATTTAATTGTCCTCATGCAGAACCTATACATAACCAAAAAGCAGTCATTCAAACAGAACGAGAAGATACTTCATGGTTTAAAATCAGGAAATGTGTTCATCAGGGTTGTTGTATCTTTTCACCATATTTATTCAATCTGTATGCTAACCAAATTATCTGAGAAGCTGGGCTATATGTAGAAGAGCACAGCATCAGAACTGGAGGAAGACAACCTGTGATATGCAGATGACACAACCTTGCTTGCTGAAAGTAAAGAACTTGAAGCACTTTGATGAAGATCAAAGACTACAGCCTTCAGTACGGACTGCACCTCAACATAAAGAAAAAAAAAATCCTCACAACTGGATCAATAAACCACATAATAATAATAGGAAAAAAAGATTGGCATTATCAAGGATTTCATTTTACTGGGATCCACAATCAACTCCCATGGAAGCTGCTGCTATTGTTGTTGTTATGCGCCGTCGAGTCAGCCTCGACTCATAGCAACCCCTCCTTGAGTTTCCAAGGCCGTATCACTACAGAAGTAGACTGCCCAACCTTCCTTCCAAGGAGTGGCTGGTGGGTTTGAACCACCAACCTCCTAGTTTGCAGTCAAGTGCCTTAGGCACTATGCTACCAGTGCTTCTCCCATAGAAGGAGTCAATAAATCAAGTGATGTATTGCTTTGGACAAATCTGCTGGAAAAGACCTCTCTAAAGTGTCCTCTAAAGAGATCTCTTTGAGGACTAAGGTGTATGTGACCCAAGCCATGGTATTTTCAATTGCCTCACATGCATATGAAAGCTTAATAATGAATAAGAAAAGCCAAAGAAGAATTTTTGTCTTTGAAGTATAGTGTTGATAAAGAATACTGAATATACCATGAACTGCCAGAAGGAACAAATCTATCTTGGAAGAATGCTCCTTAGAAGTGAGGATGGCGAGACTTCATCTCATATACTTGACATGTTATCAGGAGGGACCTGTCCCCAGGGAAGAACATCATACTTTGCAAAACAGTGAAAATGAGTAAGACTCTCAATGAGATGGATTGACAAAGTAGCTGCATAATGAGCTTAAACATAGCAGCGATTGTACAGAAGGTGCAGGACTGGGCAGTGTTTTGTACTGTTGTACGCAGGACCACTATGAGTTAGAAGTGATTCAACAGCACGTAACGACAATAACATGAGGAATAAAGACCTGATGATTTACGTTCAAGGTCACAGCCTGAAAACCCTATGGAGTGCACTTGTTTTACTCTGCAACACATGGGATTGCTATGAGTTGGAATCTATTGGAGAGCACTGGTATGAGGAAGTATTAACTGGGTAGAAACTGAGAGAAACTTCTAGGGTTCTGGAAAGTTTGTAGCTCAATAGTGGTGATTACAGTGTTAAAATTAATCAGACTACACATTAATTGTATTATACCTCAATATAAGAGTGTCTGGATTGACAGACCAAGTTTAAAAATACATAAAAGTTTTCTTCTAGTGAGAAGTGTTTTAGTATATTAGTTCATACTAATCAAAGATACATTAGAAATTTACTTTAACTTGTCACCAACCTGTTAATACCAGCTGCATTTACCAAGAAATTAACTCGACCTAAATTCTTCTCCATTTCTTCAAATGTATTTTGAACATCGTGTTCTTTGGCAACATCACACCTAAATGCCAAATGATCACCTACATAAACAAATTTAGAGTAGAATTATTTATAACTTATTATTGGAATTAATAATTTATTGACTATATATTTCTTAAACATCTACTACATACTAGGCCTATGCACTTTAAGCAAATTGGGATGACCAGGAAAGGAACAGGAACAAATAAAGCAATATTACAGAAAAATAAATAAACTCACTGCCGTCCAGTCAGTCCAACTCATAGCGACCCCTCTTTGGCTTTCCCTGGTGATACAACTAGGAATAGATTGCCCAACCTTCCTCCTGGGGAGTGGCTAGTGGGCTTGAACCACCAGCTTTCTGGTTAGCAGTGAGATGCGTTAGGCACTATGCCATCTTAAAACTTTTCAACTAAAAGTGGGAATGGAGAGGGCTTTTGTCAAGCTCATAATGTTTTGTTAGAGTCATTTCGTATTTATAGCTTTGACACTAACACTATCCTACCCAATTTAATAGTCCTCTTCCCCTTCCTCAGAATAACACAATGGCAACAAATACAGCAAAAAGCACTCACTGAAATTGTCTATAACTTTTTTTTTCTTTTAGAGAGCCCAATATTCTTCCAGCTAAACAATCAGGCTGAATTACTGATACCAAACCAATCAGTAAGGCATTAAGGTTGTTTTAAAGGTAACAGCAATGAGATGTATACTAAGGCCTCTATCCCCTCGGCCCACCCACCCCATGCCTTGCTGGTCTAACAAATTAGGTGCATGTGTCCATTTCAGTAACTAAATAAATAGCAGCTTCTTAGTACCTTTCAAATACCCTAATTCTCCCTACCATCAATAGAGACTTATATTCACAAACAATGGAAAACACTTACTAATCCATTAATAAGCAGAAATAAAGTGGGTTTAAATGTAATTTAAAAAAAGAATTTGGCAGAACAAATTTCAACAGTGAGTTTGGGTGGGTTTTGTTGTTGTTGTTTATTCGAAAAATTCATAAAAACAATTTAATAACTTATATCTCCAAACTGGCTGGTCCTGAAAAGGACTTTTCTTTGAAAAACTGCTCTGTGCTTCCGCAGAGGCAGAAAAAAGCCCTCAGCAAAATGGAAGCGAACTGTTTTGTATCCGGCACGCCTACCTTCCCTGCCTGACTTCTCTCCGCCCAGCCTCTCTCCTGGCCGCCTGGAATTTCCCGCCACGGGTGCACCCTTTTCCCTACATAAAGTTAACTGTTGTGTAACTCGCTCCTACCAGATGTCCAAACAAAGCAGCTCCTCATAGCTAGCCCCGGCCACAGGGGCGTGAGTGCATATTAATCAAGAGAAAAAACTGCGAAGCAAAGGAAACCCCAAATGTTCAGTCCTCGGCCACAGGCAATGTGACAGGAGACATTCTGCCAGGAACAGCATAGTATTACGGGGGTTTCTGCGCAAGCAGCAATGTACACTTTGGATAGACTAATCCTGAATGCCTCTGCGAAGCTGAATAGGTAAACCTCAGGGCCACAAAGACCAGACGCGCTCGTTTTACAGATGAAAAGACTTGAGGTGCCTGGACCACAGCCACAGAAATGGACAACTCCAATTCGATACCTACCGCCGAGATCCCCGGCGGCAGCTTTGGCCACTTCCAGATTCCTGGCGATAATCGCCAGTCGGTAGCCTTTTTGGGCCAGTAACTGGGCCACCGACCTGCCAATGCCCCGGGAGCCTCCAAAAATAGCACAGACTTTGTTCATCTTGGACCCGAAATCTCAACCTCGGAAGAAAGAGGGTTAGGAGCAGCAGCCCTTTCGAGGTTCCTCGCACTTTTAAACCACTGCAGCTCCAAGGGAAACCAAATCACCACAAAAATATACCGCTCAACAACTCTTCCTGCCCCGGACTCTGGCAACCCAAGTGGATGCGGAGAGGTGTATCGCGCTGACATCAACGCATACGGACTCCCAGGAGTCCAGTCCAATAGGACGCAGGCGAGAGACAGACGGTCGGCCAACGGCTGGCCTGGAAGGGGCTGCGCAGCTTGCTGGGATTTGTAGTCTTCATGCAAGAGGGGAAAAGGCGTGGGCGCGCTGCTCAGTGGGAAATGTAGTCGTGGTTTGAGGTGCTGGAAATTACAGTTCTGGTCTATGTGCTCAAGTCTGAGGGAGCTGTGAAGGTCCCGGCTTTACATAGCCGGGACGGTCTGAGGCAAACCGAGATGAGCTGACCACTTTGGTTAGAACCCAGACTGTACTCTATAGGGTGTGGGTGTGTAGAAGCTCATGTCTTGTCTTTCACCCAGGTTTTGTTTGGATGCAGACTTGATGCCTTACCTGTTGTAGGAATGGTCCCTCAGTATAAGACTCACACCAAAACCTACCCAACCATCCCCAACTTGCAGCAGGCGGAGCCTTGCCCTGCCAGGACCTTACCATTCATTTCAAAGGGTGTTATGAAGATGGATTCTCCCTCTCAAAGAACACCATATCGTAGCAGCTCAATACAAAATAGAAGGATTGAATGGTCTTGCAAGGAATAAGCAAATGTAGGCTGCAGACAAAAGTGGGTTACTCCAGTGGTCCAAAGGTTAATTAGCTAAACTGAACATTTCTTACAAAAAGGATTTTTGTACTATGAGAAAGGCAACATTTCTTGATACAATATTATTGCAATGAATGTTTTGGAAAAGTATGAATCATGATCCTTACCATTAAAACCGGAACAGGTCAGGAGGGTGGGGGAGAGCCCCCAGGTGGCAGTGAGCAGCAGCCGGAACAGGTAGGGGGAAGCCCAGGAAGTGAGTGGAGCAGTTAGAACAGCTAAGGGAAAAGAACTTGTCTGTCGGTGTGTCATACTGTGGTAGCTTGTGTGTTGCTGTAAGGCTAGAGGCTGTGCCAGCAGGGATGCCCATGGTGCACCATTTTCGGTGGACCTTCCAGACTGAGACAGACTCAGAGAGGAAGAGGCCATCCACTTCTCAAAGAATTGGCCAGTGAAAACCTTATGAATAGTAGTGAAACACTGTCTGATATATTAGAGAAAAATTTTGTGAATAGCCCTGAAACATTGTCCGATACAGTGCCAGAAGATGAGCCACTCAGGTTGGAAGTCACTCAAAATATGACTGGGAAAGAGCTGCCTCATCAGAGAAGAGCCTACCTTAATGATATAGATAAAGTAGAACTTTCCGGGCCTCCATTTGCTGAAGTGGCATGACTCAATATGAGAAGAAACAGCTGCAAACATCCATTGATAATCAGAACATGGAATGTATGAAGTATGAATCTAGGAAAATTGGAAGTTGTCAAAAATGAAATGGAACACATAATAGATGATATCCTAGGGAGTAGTGAGCTGAAATGGACCAGTTTTGGCCGTTTTGAATTAGATAACCATATCATCTACTATGTTGGAAATGACAAATTGAACAGGAATGGCATGACATTCATTATCACAAGGAATGTGTCAAGATCTATCCTGAAGTACAATGCTGTCAGTGATAGAATAGGCACTTGACTGCTAACCAGAAGGCTGGCAATTCAAACCCACCAGCCACTCCTCGGAAGGAAGATGGGGCAATCTACTTACGTAGTGATACTGCCTTGGAAACCCAAGGAGGGGTCGCTATGAGTTGGGTCCAACTCGACGGCACATAACAACAACAACAACACAAGGAAAGCCAGTTAATACTACCATTTTTCAAATTTATGCACCAACCACCAAAGCCAAAGATGAGAAACTTGAAGATTTTTACCACCTTCTGCAGTCTGAAATTGACCAAACATGCAATCAAGGTGGGCTGATTATCACTGGTGACTGGAATCCTAAAGTTGGAAACAAAGAAGAATCACTGGTAGTTGGAACACATGGCCTTGGAGATAGAAATAATGCTGGAGATTGTATGATAGAATTTTGCAAGACCAACAACTTATTCATTGCAAATACCTTTTTTTTCAACAACACAAAGGGCAGCTATACACATGGACTTCACCAGATGGAGTACACAGGAATTAGATTGACTACATCTGTGGCAAGAGGCAATGGAGAAGCTCAATATCTTCAGCCAAAAAAAGGCCAGGAGCTGATTGTGGAACCAACGATCAACTGCACATTTGCAAGTTCAAGTTGAAGAAAATTAAAACAAGTCCACAAGAGCCAAAATATGATGTTGAGAATATCCCTCCTGAACTTAGAGACCATTTAAAAAGTAGATTTGATGCATTGAACACCAGTGACCAAAAACCAGAGAAATTGTGGGATGACATCAAAACATCATCCATGAAGAAAGCAGAAGGTCATTAAAAAGACACAAAGGAAGAAAAGATCAAAATGGAGGTCAGAAGAGACTCTGAAACTTGTGCTTTAATGGAAAGTAGCTAAAGCAATGGGAAGAAATGACAAGTTAAAGACCTAAACAGAAGATTTCAAAGAGCATCTTGAGAAGATGAAATCAATTTTTATAATGAAATGTGCAAAGACATAGAGTTGGAAAGCCAAAAGAACACACTAGGCATTTCTCAAGCTGAAAAAACTGAAGAGGTAATTTAAGCCTCGAGTTGCAATGTTGAAAGAGTCTATGGGCAATATATTGAATGATGCAAGAAACATCAAAAGAAGATGGAAGGAATATACAGAATCACTGTACCAAAAAGAATTGGTTGATGTTCATCTATTTCAGGAGGTGGCATATAATCAACCACAAATGGTATTGAAGGAAGAGGTTGAAGCTGCACTGAGGGAAGTGGTGAAAAACAAGGCTCCAGGAATTGACGGGATACCCATTGAGATCTTTCAACAAATGGATGCCACACTAGAGGCACTTACTCAGCTATGCCAGGTTTGGACAACAACTACCTGGCCAACTGACTGGAAGAGATCCATATTTGTACCCATTCCAAAGAATGTGAACACATAAAGATGTGAACACATAAAGAATGTGGAAATTATCAAACAAAATCATGAATATCACATGCAAGTAAAATATTGTTGTTGTTATGTGCCATAGAGTTGGACCCGACTCATGGTGACCCCTCCTTGGGTTTCCGAGGCAGTATCACTACGGAAGTAGATTGCCCCATCTTCCTTCTGAG